GACATTTTTGGAGGAATTATTTCTTTCAGATTGTGAGCTAGATAATTCTTAATTTCAGTCAATATTTCTATATAAATACTGTAAAAGATGCACAGCGTAGTAGCATTTGCTGTGCTTAAGACCACTGGACACATTATCTAGATTCACCACTGACACATGCTACCAAGTAAATTGCTACAGTTTTGCATTCCTGGGTGATAGTAATGTGATTAAGACCACAAGTACATCCTTTCAGGAAACCGGAGTGTGTTTATTCCCCATTGGACTTGCTCACGATGGTTTGGATCCACAAAGAGGAGGAGGATATGCATCAGTACGGTTCCATGAACCTTTGTGCAAGAGCTAGTGGGAAACGTCTTGCAGGGCAGTGCCACAGTCAGGGATGACATTGCAATGTAAGAAACAGCAGCTAAGGAAAATATAGGCTATAATATATAAATGTTAGTGAGCCGAAAGGTCTTGAGAAATAACATCTCATTTTTCTTTTTTGTTCTGATCTTTCTTCTTGTTTTGTTTACATCTTTCTCCTTGTACACTTAGAACAAGGCAAACACAAATCTATTTGTTAAACATTTTGATTTGCATGTAACACATTTGCTCTTTTTGGCTTGGTGCTCCATATGCTCACAATTCTATTCCATGCAATATCCGCTTAGCTCATTTCCTTCCTTCCTTCCTTCCCTTGTATTTCTCTCTCTGATTTTTCATCTCAATCTTACTTTCAGTTTTTCATGTGCTAACAGTTTATAGTCCAGCAACTGAACATTACTTCCTTTTCGCCATTTCCTTTTGTATGTAATATCATAAACAGATTGTATACCCATAAGCAAGATTTGTTTGTTTCCCATTGCCTGGGGAATTTCAGGTACTTTAGAAAGAATAGGTACTAATAAATACTATCATCATCATCATCAACAACAACAACATGACCATAATCATCATAATTATAATGATGAAAATAAACACCATTATTTATTATTGTTATTGTTATTATCGTTATTACAACATGAACTTCACATTTGTGTTGAAGTTTGTCTCATACACTAAAATTTGTGCTAGGATAAGGCATATGACTATGAAATCTATAGGTACCTTGACTTGTGTAAAATTCAGCATGAGCTCCAAGTAGTCAGAAGTGTAACTGGGAAAGGATTGGGCCCCCACTTACAGATATTTTAAAGAGGCATGAACTGTATTTTACCAGATGTGTTCTTTTTTAAATGATATATTTTTATTAAAGATTTCTTAGTTTACAAAAATACGTGCATTGTCTCTTTTTTCAAAATGTGTTTTTTACAGATCAGTTTCACTTCTTGTGAGACATAGGCTATGAGATTAACCCCACCCAATGGACCAGAATGTGGGCTAAACCTCCCTTTAAACCCATATCAGCGAAAAGAAAAGAACTCACTCTGAAACTCACTTACAGATGGTACCTAACACCACAAAAACTGCTGCTAATACGCCCAGGAACCTCACCAAAATGCTGGAGAGGATGCACCTCCACATGTACATAGCTCCACATGTGGTGGGAATGTCCCAAAATCCAACTTTTCTGGACATCAATCATACAAGAAATATGCAAAATAAACTAAGCAAATATTAGAAGTCACCCCAGAACTGGCCCTACTTAACATCTTCCAAGATAATAATGCCCACTCACACATCATAAAGAGCTCATAACCCACCTACTCTCAGCAGCCAGAAGCATCATAGCCAGACACTGGAGAGACCTGTCAGGAGTAAGCATGGACCAATGGTATCAAATAGTATGGGGTACCAGATGTGTTCTTCATCCTTCATGGGGTAAGTATGCATAGTCTGCACTTGGGATCCTTACTAAGGGATCACCCCAAACCATTTAATCATTTTTTTAAAAAAATGACATTGTACATTCATTTGTAACCAGGTAGGATTTTAAAAGGTACACATGTAGATATGCTAAAGTAAAATACGACCTGCCAAAATGATTGAAATACTACCGCTGATCTGGAAATGCTATGAGAAATTCTGAAGGAGATAATCTAGCAATATTTTATTCTTGGCAAAATATCTCACTGCTTGTCAAAACATTTTTTTTTGCATCTGTCCTTTTTTATTAAGAAGGTTACCGAACACATAACAAGCACAAGCACACAAAGAAAGAGACAAAGAGAAGTGATACATCCTTCAAGCCAGGTGTCAAATCAGGTTTCATTGTGTCCCAAGAGTGCAGTAAACTCAAAAAGCAGGCAACATAACTGCCCAGTGCTTTATCAATATGCAACACCCCTCACCCGGTACCTATTAGTAGGTGATTTTCTTGTATTATGCCCTTGTCCAGGGTGTGACTTATCTGATGCATGATATACAACACAGTGAAAAATAACTGAAGTCAAGTTCTTTAGTCTATATATATATATTTAAAGGTACATGTTTTGAGTAGGCTTTGTTCGAGTAGTTTCAAATTATTCACAGAAAGGAAGAGGGGGAAATTTCACTGGGCAAAGATGCATGGCACAGTTTGAACTGCAAACTTCATTCAAGTTCTAAACTCCTGTGGGTGGGGTGGGTAGGCAAAATTTGAATTTAAACTGGAACCCAAACCTAACAAACATATTGAGCTACATATTGATATGTCCACCAAACTGAATTAAATAATTATTCAGGGCAGGATTCAAAAGCCTTATTTAGGATCATTCAAGGGCTCCCAGAAGAAATTTATTTTCCTACTCTTGCAGCCTATAATAAAGAAACTGATTTTGAACTATTAAAAAAAAAAAACTTTTTCAGCTTCAAATGCATAGTGGGGTACTGTTGGGAGTGGGTGGTGCTAGTTTACACAGTAACCCTATGCAAGTTTACTCAGAAGCAAATCCCACTGATTTTAATGAAACTCACTCCCATATGTGTGCATAGGATTGCAGTCATGTCGTGCAATCCTATACATGCCTTTTACACATATCTGAAAGACTGTCAGAAAGTTGATGTAGAAAATTTGCTTTCTGTTGCTCGTTACCTGGGCCAATGAGTTCAAATTACAGAAAGGGGGATTTTAGCTAAACATGAGGTAGAACTTGCTCACGGTATAAGCTGCTTCAACAGGGGAAGCAGATGGCAGTGGTCTCTCATTCATTTGCAGTTTTTAAGTAGAGGGTAAATGGCCACCTACCAGGAAAACTGTAGCAGTGGATCTCCGACCTTGCAAGGGCGTTGAACTAAATGCTATTTGAGGTATCTTCATATGTCAACTCAGAAGTTCAGTGAGTTCAGTGAAACTTATTTCCAGTAAGTGTATACAGGCAACTCTCAACTAACATGGAGGTTTACAGGGTAAAGCCAGAATCACATATAGTCAAACACATTGGGTTCAATGGTGCCTGAAAGCCAAGCACAGTTTTTTGGAGCCCACCCTCAGTGTGGACAATACAGCAAAATTACTATTATTATTCTGTTACCCTCATACGAATATAAGAAGAGCCTAGTGGATCAGGCCAGTGACCCATCTAGTCCAATATCTTGTTCTTACAGTGGCCTGTGGGAAAGCAGTAAGGAAGACCTCAACAACTGGTATTCAGAAACATTACTCTCTATCACAGAACACAGTCATCATGTCTAGTAGTCATTGATATCATTATCCTCCATGAATTTGTCTCCTGCACAGCACAGCCCCTCTCAGTAAGTATGGATGGGAAAACATATCACTGCCCTTAAAAAATGTATTGGGAAACGTAAACATCATTTCAAGAGAGCACCATTTTAGAAAGCTATACATGATCACTAGCACCTATCCCCATTCCTAGATAAGTGGCAACATACATATTTAGTACAGTAGTACCTGTGGTTACGTACTTAATTCGTTCTGGAGGTCCGTTCTTAACCTGAAACTGTTCTTAACCTGAAGCACCACTTTAGCTAATGGGGCCTCCCGCTGCCACCACACAATTTCTGTTCTCATCCTGAAGCAAAGTTCTTAACCCAAGTTTCTGGGTTAGCGGAGTCTGTAACCTGAAGCGTATGTAACCCGAGGTACCACTGTATTTTATATGAGTATGCTGATTTCTTACAATAGGAATTCTTGCACGATGCTAAAACACCTCTACTGCCTAACTGAATAATATATAATAAAGTGATTGTGGTTTTTTAATTTTTTGAATGACTGAGCATTTTTCAACAAATCAAAACTGCTTTTACCTGTCATCTAATACCTCCCCAGATGTGCCATACCTTTCCTCAGCTTTATATTTTAAAATTGTATTAAAAAGTTCCGCAGACTTGTTTTGTATAAGATAAAGAGTCAAACGGCATATTGTGTATCACTGCATTAATTTGCACAAAATGTCAGACTGCTTGTCAGCCTTAGCTGCGTCACTGGCTTCCCAAGAGCCCCCACTCCCAGAGAGTTCCAGATTACGGTTGTGCAGCAAAGACTTACCAAGCTATCCAAACAAAGTCAGGAAGACTAGAGAGTCAGAGGACCGATAAACACTCATTCCCATCCCCTGAGGACACAATAAGTTCCCCAATAAACTGCAGGAAGATTGGAGACAGATAAAAGAATTACAGTATTTTTTGCTCTATAAGACTCACTTTTTCCCTCCTAAAAAGGGGAAATGTGTGTGCGTCTTATGGAGCAAATGCAGGCTGCGCAGCTATCACAGAAGCCAGAACAGCAAGAGGGATTGTGGCTTTCACTGAGCAGCGATCCCTCTTGCTGTTCTGGCTTCTGAGATTCAGAATATATTTTTTTCTTGTTTTCCTCCTCCAAAAACTAGGTGCGTCTTGTGGTCTGGTGCGTCTTATAGAGCGAAAAATACGGTACATTTTTTGAATAGCACGCAAACTATGGAACTCACTCCCACAAGAAACAGTAATGGCCACCAACTTGGATGGCTTGAAAAGAGAATTGGACAAATGCATGAAGGATAAGGTTACTAAGCCATGTGGCTATGCTTGGCCTCCACAGTCGGAGAAAGTAATTCTCTGAATACCAATTGCTAGAAACCACAGGAGGCATGGTTTCCTAGATAACTTAGTTGATTAAAATGTGGTGCTGATAATGCCAAGGTTTCAGGTTCAACCCCTGTATGGGAGTGCTGCATATTCCTGCATTGCAGGGGGTTGGACCAGATGATCCTCAAGGTCCCTTCCAACTCTACCATTCCATGATTTCCCACCATATATGCATTTTCACATCTCCATCATTTCACAGCCCTTTTCTGTTACTCTGTACATTGCAGCCATTCATCCAACAGCTTGGATAGAGCGCTCCACCTGCCAGGCAGTAGGCAAAGTGTTTACTGCCCTAAGCAATAAAGTGCAGTTCAATGGATATGCAGGCAGCACACGTGGGGGTGGGAGGATGTTAGGATATTTCCGTTCCACCTTAAAAGGGAGCAGGATGTTTGTGTCACAGCCTGCGTATTTCCTGTTCACAGGATGTTTCTGTTGTGTCTATGCTTTCGTTTCTCTCTCTGTGCCTGAGACATCAACGCAGGCAGTCATGTTTTCTTTGTTCTGACCAACGCTGAATAAACTTGTAAATAATGCTCTCCTGCGTGCATCTTTCGCTGTGTGAATTCTGCTGATAGAGCGTGCATGAGCTCTGGAATGTGGCAAGCTATTTCTGGAGCTCATGTCGCTAATTGCTGATACTGTATCTACGGGAGATCAATGGACATCCGGAGGCGACGTGGGGTCATGATGGGTCTCCCTGGCAGTATCCCAACAGGGGAATGGTGTATTTAGATATACTGCTGCAATGGGAAGGAATATGGAGGCTATGGGTAGATCTTGATACTAGAGGCTTGGAAGGACTTAGTGGTCAAATGGTGTTGGAAATGGAGGTTTATTTAATTTATTCATGTATGCTACTACAGCTGCAAGAATGTTATTCGCCCCAAAATGGAAAGAAGCAGGTCCCAGCAAAGGAAGAATGGATACAAAAACTTATGGAATATGCAGAAAGGGCAAAACCTACTGGAAGAATAAGAAATCAAAATAACAAACTTTTTATAAAAGAATGGAAATGGTTTATTGAATATTTACAGATAAATTATAAACAGATAAGTACATTGGCAGGATTATTGTAATAACCTGCAAGTTTTATAAGAGTATATATTTAAAGTAGATGAATAAATGAGTAAATTAAGTTAATTTGGATATGCAGAAGATATTAAAAATAAATTTAGGGAACTGCAGAAAGGGAGGGAAGGAAGTCTAGTTTTGAAATGTTTAAATGATTGTAAAATTAGTGAAATGTTTAAACCTGAAAAGCATTACAAAAGAAATGGAGGTTAATCTAATTCCCTCCACTCCAAATTAAGCAAGGGTCGTTTACTAAATGTGGTAGTAACTTAGACTCCAGGGACTTTAGAGTTTTTGCAACTGCCTTGGGGTTTTTTTTGGGGGGGTGGGGATATATGATGAATGTGACTTCCTGTTGAATTTCCTTATATGATAGGGGGGAGTTTGTTTGTTTTTTTAAAAAAAGTTTGAACTTTGAAGTTTCAAGCAGCATTGGAACCTTGTGAGTCGGAATTCATTAAGCGCCATGATATGCCATCTGAACAGGGAGTGTGTGAAGGCTGTTATTATGATATATGCATTTTCTTTCTAATGCAGAGATGACTTGTACCACATATAAACAGTTGTCCATAGTAAATTTAGACTGTATAAATCTACTTTAAAACCTTAATATGGCTGACAGACCTGCTGAAATGTCCATATGAGCCACCCACTCACTTGCAATCAAAACCCAAGAGCAAATGTAAATGCCGGTCAACTTTAATTTTGTTCTTTGGGAGATTTGATTCTGTTTCGCTGCCTCATTTGCATTGTCTGTGTGAGAAGGCCAGAATTTATCTGTGGGAAATTATATTCTGAAGTCATATTTACAACATCCAAATATCAGGTCCTTGTGGGACTAGATATGTAATACGAGAATTATAAATGTGCATGTTAAACATTAATACTTAATCAGACATTGCTCCTTTAGTCTGGCAGCTGACATTTGTGATGTCTTAACTGTGCCAAAAAGAATGGGCCAATGGCTCTTTTCAGAGCCAGTATCAGGACTGCCAAGTCAACTGTTAGGAAAAGTGACTGAGCACTGTGTGTGATACATATTGAGGCCAACAAAATCTCTCTGCATGGCTCCTGCAATTGCATTTCCTCCCCTTACAACCCACATTTTCTCTTAATTAAAACATGCACAAATATATCTCCCCTCCCCTAATTACAGTGTACCTAGCAAATAGGTACATAATTGGGTTAAACTGAAATCTTTCCAGGGGCAATTTTGTGTTTTAATAGTACCTTTCACCACTGGACCAAAGTGAAAGTCACTAAGGAGGGTTGTCAGCTGCCACTTGCTTACAAAATGACCCAAACACAAATTGTGTATTTTTTAAAAAAATCAGTGAACAGATCTGATAATATGAATGGGAACTGATCTGTTTATGAGTGTTAATAAATGTCAAGATTTTATGGAAGTTTTCCTGTGTAAATACAAAATGAGTTCCCTCGCTGCGAATCCTTTATATTTCTATCCTGTGAATAATAAAGCATCAATGACTTACTTCTGAGTAAACATGTGTAGGATTTTGCTGTAAATCCCACTGAATTCAATTGTGGTTATTCCCAGGTAAATGAGTACCGTATAGCAGCTCACAGTCTCAAACTCATTGTTTGTCTCTGATACCAGCTGAGCAAGTTTACTCTAATTGTGTTATGCTGTTTTTATTAGTTTGTCTTTATTGTATATGGATTTTTTAAATATAATTGTTTTACTGTACACTGCCTTAGTATTATTTTAATGAGATGTAGCATATGCATATTTTAAATAAATAAACTGCATACCTCGTCGGCCCCCATCATGGTAACTAGCAATTTTTGTCTTGTTTTGCTTTCTGCTATTTTAGTGGAACAGTATTCCAGTCTTGGAACATATGTAGACTGTGACTCCCCTCTGCCCAAAATCCAGCTGCACCCTACAATTAGGCTTGGAGAAAAGCCTTCTACATTAGTGCTAAAGGAAGATGGTTTTCAAGCCTGGAGGGCAACAGAAAATGTCCTTCCCTAGCTTCAGTCTCCATTAAGTGCACACACCCTGAAATGCTTTAACCCCCAAGGATAATAGCTTGGGGTACGGAGGGCAGAAGAAGAGTGTTATGCATTTCAGCTCAAGCTCCTCCCACTTTTGTTTCTACTCCCAGGGATGGGGAACTTCTGGCTCTCCAGAAGTTATTGGACTCCAACTCCCATCAGCCCCCAATTAGATGGCCAAAGGTGAGGGGATGATGGGACTTGTAGTCCAGCAACATCCAGTTTGCTAAAGGAACTAGGCAGGTGCAGCCTGTCTGGCAAACGTTTCAAGGCTATGTGTGTTTTCAAAGGAAATCTAGCCACATCAAAGTTCATGGGGCTAAAGAGCTTCAAAGCCCAGTCCTTATGTTTTTTCCTGGTTTTGCAACCATGGCCCTTGCTGCTAACTGCAGAGTTCTGCCAGCAGCCCATGAAAGAGACTGAGGAGGCTGAGCTTTAAGACTGCAAAGGAAGACCTGAGTTCCCTGATTCTGCTGCAGGTTCGACTTCTGTCATCTCTACATTTGGTCCTGCTGCTTTTCCCTCCTTCCTCCTCCTTCCACTTGCCACTCTGGCTATTTTACTTGGACCTGGACAAAGGTTGACCTGCATTTCTGTCTTCTCTTTTGTGGAATGGTGACTTTGCTTCAGCAATTTCCTTTTGTTCTTCCCAGAGTGGGTATTATTCGCTCAGGAGGCGGAACTACGCTTCTTCGGGTGATGAATGGTGATGAGCCCTACAATCCAGCGCTTCTTCTGCTTGCTCAGGATGTGGCGCCTTTTGAAAAGCTTTTTCTGTAGCTCCGTCTGGGGCCAGTTGATTTTTTTTCCTGTGGGAGACCCCATGTCTCACCCACGTAGTGCTGTTAACTAGCAATTGTAAGAAGGTTCTTACATGCAGGGAACCACCACAATGCACATTGCCCATGCAATCGTTTCTGGAGGTGTTCAGAACCTCCTAGGTAGAATAATGTGAAAGTGTTGATTGTATGGACTGGCCTCTTTAAGTGGCTGAGCAAGTCACTGGCTGTGATTTGTGCAATTGTTTAGGCTTGGCAAAGGATCTGTTTTATGCAATCAACACTTTCTGATGATCCTTTTGAGACTGCTTGGGGGCCGGGCAGGTATGTAATTGTCCTTTATCATAATTCCGAGCAGCGATTAGTCTCTAAATGGCAAGCTGCAATCGCTTTGCCCTCCCTCAAATCTCTGCAGTGACTTTATGTCTCACTCTGCAGCCATTAAGTTTTAAGCTGCTGCGCTACTAAATGTGTGTTTGCCTTTTGAGCACAAAACCATGATGTAGCTCCCATGTGGTTGGTTGATGGCTGTTACCAGGCTGGTTGCTGGCTGAAGTCCATATGAGGGCAACACTGATGCTTCCATGTCCATGGAATATATGTGACTCTACCTGCATTTCTGTGGTGGCATTATCTATCAAATGTTGGTAGCTACACATGGAGCTCCAGATTTTTGGGGGCCCCTAGAGTAAGCTGCTTTCAGTCCCTACCCTGAGCATCCAACACATCTGTACTACCACTTACTGGCTGGTGTTCTTCCTGCAACTCCTGTGGTGGTAGCATCAGGGAAAGAGAGCTCTGGGAATACATTGAACATCGGTATGCATGGCACCACTTTCTTAATGTAACATAACAAATAGGCCATTGAGGAATATCATTGTGCACTTTCTTTTTTTCTCCTGGGTATTAAACTCATCATGGAAACCCCCCCCCCCCCCCCCCGATATTAATTTTGGTTCTGTTAGATACAAAATCCAAAACGTGCATTCGTTGTAAAACGTTTATCTGTTCAGACGGCCAAAAACCCCTCCCAGGGTTTACAAGTTTGCTTTAACTTTGTGCACGTTCCAAAACAAATGGGATTACTGTGTATGTATACGTAAGAATCAGTGGAAAAATCAGCTTCATTGTCAGATACAACCATTTTTATATAAAAGACAGTATTTGTCTTTTGGCTCTGCATTGGCTCATGATGATACTTTGCAAAAA